CCTGGTCCTGAGCCCAGATCTGTGACCGGTCCTGGTCCTGAGCCCAGATCTGTGACCGGTCCTGGTCCTGAGCCCAGATCTGTGACTGGTCCTGGTTCTGGTCCCGAGCCCAGATCTGGGACCGGTCCTGGTCCTGAGCCCAGATCTGTGACTGGTCCTGGTTCTGGTCCCGAGCCCAGATCTGGGACCGGTCCTGGTCCTGAGCCCAGATCTGTGACTGGTTCTGGTCCTGTCCCCTCAGGTCCTGGCACAACGTGTACTGTGTGATCAACCAGCAGGAGATGGGTTTCTATAAGGACCAGAAGAGCGCGGCGCAGGGCATCCCCTACCACAGCGAGATCCCCGTCAGCCTGAAGGAGGCGCTGTGTGAGGTGGCGCTCGACTACAAGAAGAAGAAACACGTCTTCAAGCTCAAGTGAGTTTCAGAGGGACAGAAACTCCTTAGAGTCGCATTAATGAGACGAACGATGTTTTTATTATATTCAGCTGCTTTGGTTCAAATTTATTTCTGTGTTCCTTCAAGAGCCTCTAAGTTTAATAAAATCTGTTTACATCTGAACTTTATCATGTCTGTGGTTTGAACAGAGAACAGCGTAAATAACAAGGCAGGTGAGGAAATGTTCAGACGCCAGGTTTCATTTTGTCCGTCTGTAAAACAAACAGCCTCTGATGTTTACAGATTTATGTTTCATACAGCAGTTATTAAAGATGGAGACAATCAGGAAACATCAGAGTGAAAACAATAAAACAACCAGACAGCAGGAATCAGGTTAAATCTGCAGAGTCACAGGAGCAGAAAGAAGAGCCTTCAGGTTTAAAACTGATCCAAAATTAGCTTTAGAGCAAAACATAACGAGAGATCAGAATAAAATCCTTTTACTTCAGCTGGATAAGTTACTGAACAAACCAAATAACGACTGTTTGATGAATCTGCGATAACAAAGTTCATCATTAAATCTGAACTTTAATGATGGTGAAATTTCTCCTCCACATGATGATTAAAGTCTCTTCATGTGTTCAGTCAGTTCCTCCAGGGTTTCATGATCGTTCTTATGATATTTTTGAATCAAAAGGTCTAGATAAAGACGAGAAAAGATGGGAAATAAAGACCAGATTTGACAGAAACATTGTTATTCTCTAAGAACTTCATGGCGTCGAACACAGACGATAGTTTGGCATGAAGTCAGGCTGAGGCAGCAGAGGAAACACTGCCACCTGCTGGTGGGAGTTGGCATCACTTAAAACCAATGTTTCTGACTTTTTGCAGTTTAATTACAATAAACTCACATTTATGCATCAGCATGAAAAAATACAGGGATGATCGCAGAATTACAAAAAGCTGAAGCTTTTCATCTGGTAAACATTCTGCGTAGCTCTGCATGTTCAGAAAAACCTTCGCTGGATTGGTGATGAAATTCAACGTCACATTTGAGATAAATCAGATATAAATCAGATATATCTGCTGCAGCTGAAAGTTTTGGTGGTTTTCCTGTTTTCCCTCCCTGTGAATCCTGACCATCATGTCTGACGCTCCGCAGGCTCACTGATGGGAACGAGTATCTCTTCCAAGCCAAAGACGACGTAAGTAACAAACTGAAACTCCTCTGGTTTCTGTTCCTTCACATCAGACTCATATTTAACTTGTTGTTCCTTCTAGAAAATGTTTTTTCTTCCAGCTGATTTCCTTTGACTGTCAGACAGGAATACTGGGTCGGACCGCCTGGTTCTGGAAAACTGGGAATACTTTTAGTTTTGGTGATTTTTAGTTCCTCAGGGCTCCATCCTCAGCCCCCAGACTCATAAAGTGAGACTTGTTTTGCACCTGAACCTTATTTTTCCTGCTGATGCGTCTCTGCTGGATCCGCTTCACCACCTTAAACAGAACGAAAGTTTTCTGTCTGAATGAGACGTGAAGCCCACAGCGGCCGTCTGTGTCCAGTAGGTCTGGTTGTCATGATGTTTGTTTGTTGTGAAAATGAGCTGCAGCTCCAGCAGAACGCTGCAGCCAGAGTCCTGACCAACACCAGGAAATGGATAATCCACTGGTCTCTGCTTTTTCTTGAACTGGTCTAACTGGGCTAACCAGGTTATGAGACGCTTTAGTATCTAGTCACATATAAACCATGTTCCCACCGCGGGTCCAGACTAACTCCATGTTTCCAGAGCTGGACCAGGTGAGGCAGCGTTTAGTTTCTCCTCAGATCTGGAACAAACTCCCAGGAAACCTGAGCTGTTCAGTAACTGTTGGTTCCTTTAAATCAGGATTCATTAAACCGACCCTGATCTCCATCACTGTTAAATAAATTCCTGTTTCTGAGTGACTTCCCTTCTTCCGTCCAGGAGGAGATGAACTCCTGGATCTCGGCCATCGTGGCGGCGGCGGGCTCCAGGGTGGAGGTGACCCCCAGCAGCCACAGCACGCCGGCCCCCGCCGCCCGCGCCCAGACGCTGCCGGCCACCGTGGCGGCCTCCACCGCCGAGTCCAGTCCTGGCAAACGGGAGAAAGACAAGGAGAAACGCTTCAGTCTGTTCAGCAAGAAGAAGTAGACGCTCCTCCTCCTCCTCTTCCTCTCTTCCCGTCCCACGGCTGTTTGGGGTCGCTCCTCGTTGTCCATCGCCGACGTCCTCGTTTATCCAGCCGCTAGTCGGTTTGCTCCTAGCAGCTGCGAAGCTCAGAATGTAGATCTGTCTCTTTAATCCATCCTGATGATGATTCCTAACATTTCCTGATCCCAAACAGCCTTCCTCTTCCTCCTCCTCTTCCTCTCAAAGCGTGACTCCAGCATGCCAGCTCCGAGCCAAAACTCTCCACTCTGTGCCTCTAACCGTCCGGTGGCTCAGAGCTCCCGCTCAGCTGCGGCGCGGCGGGAACCTTTGCTAGGAGGGACAGAACCACCGTTAGCGTGTCCGGCAGCTGCTGTCCTACGGATACGATCACCGCCTGGAGGAACTCCCACTCCGTTCTCCTTCCTGCTGTCTCTCGTCGTCCAGCTTCTCGTGTTTAAACTCCCGGTTCTCCTGGACGTTGTTGCTCGCTCCGGTCTGGCTCCATCCTCAGCCGTTTCTGCGAGGCCTTGTCTTTGCAAGTAGAGGGGAACCTGGAGCAGGGCGGGGTCCTGCTGCTGCTCAGCCTGGGCTGACCGGGTTAACCAGGCTACCTGGGCTATCTAGGCTAACCGTGCTAACTGGGCTAACCAGGCTGAGTAACCAGGCTACCTGGGCTATCGAAGCTAACTAGGCTAACCACTCTAACTGGGCTAACCGGGCTGAGCAGCTGCTCGGGGCCGTCTAATTCCTGCAGCAGCGTGAATGCCACCCGGCCCTGCTTCATCTGTATGTATAACTTGTGTATAACAAACTGTTTAAAATAAACTTGTGTTTAATTTCTTCACTTATTAGTACTAATAATATGACCAACCGTGATAAGCTTCAGTGATTATGTATGAAGGAGGAAACCGAATGTTTAATCAGTTTTCCAACAATCAGTCAGGTTTCTTTTCTACTTTATTTCTGAAACATTAACCTCTGACCTTTGTTTAGTTTTGTGTCTCAGAGTTAATCAGTCTGAGGTTTATTAGTCTGGAGTTTGAAGATGTTCTATAAAGTAACTTTAAGCTGTTCAGTGGATTCTCTGTCTGGAAGTGAATATCGGTTGCTCGCTTGTTGGCTTCAGCTCTCCGTCGTTTAAAGTGAAACCTGTTGGAGCTTCATGTGGACGCTTCCGTACGGAGCTTCATTCATGACAAAAGTCACTCAAACTCATTTAAAATGTGAAATTGACCAGATGTGGAAAAAGATGCAACATTAAAAACATTTACTGACTCAGTTTCACACAGTTCTGCTCGTTTTAACACGTTTTTGTTTGGGATGTGATTTATGGTCCACATTATACAAGAAAACCGTTAATTTGATAACAATCACAATTATTTCCTCAGATTTTCATAGTAACCGCCATAACATTAATGATTTTTAAAACATGTTTCCAAATGAATGTTCATGTTTGTTAGAAAACTAAAGTTTGGATTTCTGGTTGATGGTGGGAGAATATTTTTTCTATGAAAAAGACTCTGATTGGAAGAAAATCACAGAGAAGCGGTTCTCCGGCCTGCAGGGGGCGCTTCAGGCCGTAGCTGATGGTTTCAGACCTAAAACAGCTGATTACCAGTTTTTCCTCCAACTAAAAACTGATCATCATAAAGAATAATAATTATTAGAGTTGATGTTTGGGCCTAAATGTTTGACGTTTGTTTCAGTGATTTTGTCATTGATGGAGTTCCGTAGAGCCTGAATTGAGTTGGTGTAACGCAGCAGCAATGAGGACAAACAGGTCAAAGGTCAATCATTATGGGGGGATGGGGCTGCTTCATTTTTTAATATTATTTTGTGCTAAAATCTGGCAGTTTGATAAATAGTGTGCATTCCTCTGTCACTGTAACCATAGTAACCAGATATTTCTTCATTCTGCACAACGATGCCACATTGGGGTAGGTGGGTGGGGGTCATAGGTCATAGGTGGGTGTGATGTGGACCGGGGGTCACTGCTAGTTGGATCTGCACCGTAGATTTCTCCCCATCTGTTACATCTGTGCAAAAAGCCATTAAAAGCTTTTAAAACAAACTGTTTGGTTCCTGTTTGAACTCAGAGAAACGGGAAGGAAAGTCAGTAAGTAAGTGCACCCCCAGACCTGTAAGTAAGTGCACCCCCAGACCTGTAAGTAAGTGCACCCCTAGACCTGTAAGTAAGTGCACCCCCAGACCTGTAAGTAAGTGCACCCCTAGACATGTAAGTAAGTGCACCCCCAGACCTGTCAGGTCAGACGGCCCTGACCTTAGAACGAAGAACAAAACATTCAGAGGAAACCAAACAGCTGATCAACAACAGAAAAAAGAATTAATGTGTTGGAATGGCCTAGTCAAAGTCCGAAGCTTAACCTGATGGAAATGCTCATTAAAGGTTGTCTGTTTCTATTTTTCAACCCAACACATATAAATGTTTACATTAAACAGAAAATATTTTGAGTTAATTTTGTTTTGCCAAAATGAAAAATTTCTGTTACAATTTAACCAGATTTAATTTAATCTGATGATGTGGGAATTTATTAAAAATTACATCAAAGCAGGAAGAAATTTTATTCTCTCTGAAACATTAGCAGGTCGTTTTTAGTGAAATTTTGTCTCGGATCAAACATGGAAAATTTGTTTTAAGTGAAAATTCTTTGTTTTTCTGTTTTTGATAAAATAAAACATCAGAAAATCAAAACAATTTTTATATTTCAAACCACATAAATCATCAAATATTTAAACCAGGATTGTTTGTCACCTTGTTGAGACTAATAAAAACAGGATTAAATGTTTTTAATAATCTAAAGACATTGAAAATGTTTTCATTTTTTAATAAATATTAAAATAGTAATTTTAATATTTATTCTGTTGCTTTTCTCTGCTCAGCTCGGCGGACAGCGCCACCTGCCGACCACCGGCTGGGATTTGTAGTTCACAAGAAACACTTACTCCCATAATGCATTACGTCCTGCTGTTTAGTCTGCGCGCGCAGGTGTTGCAGCCACAATCCGACCCTTCAAAGTAAAAGCTCGCCATTTGACGTAAAGCATCAGAATTTAATCCGAACCTCCAGGTAGTGGACGGTTCTGGTTCGGTTCGGGTTAGTAATGATTCTGTAGTTCTTTTTCACATTTAATAAACTATTCACGTGACTGTCAGACAAATAGAACCTGAAAAAGACAAAATGTTTTGAAATTATTTAAGAACAAAAAGCTCCAAACGGACTCGAGGCCTGATTTTTTTAACAGGGATTTTTTTGAAGGTCATTCTCAATCAAAATCAGCTCTGGCCTTTGACTAGACCAATTCAAAGCCTTTATTTCTCTGTTTTTGAGCTGTTAGTGTTTGGACTTTCTGGTTGATCTTGATTAAACGTTTTCCTTCAAGAGTTTCTGTAGAAACCAGCAATGATTCTTGAGAATAGGGACAAAACAGGTCCTATGGATAAAGCACAAAATTTGAATAAAATATACACAAAATATAATTTTTTCAAATATCTGACTAACCTGGGTCATGTGAGCACAACAATGTATATTTTTCTTGTGTTTGCTGAATATTTTTTTTTATTTTAAACATTGTAGTTGGTGGATGATGCTTATAAAATCCC